TCCGTCCATCCGGTGGCGGGGGTGGCCGCGCCGTCCCCCGTGTCCCGCTGCCTACCAGGAGCACAGCACCACCTCCTGCAGCGTCCGGCGGAGCTCCTGGCTCCGGAAGGCGTAGATGAGGGGGTCAATGACCGAGTTGCAGATGATGAGGATGAGGAAGAGGTTGAAGTAGCTGAAGAAGCAGGTGCAGAAGGGGTTGGTGGGGCAGGTGACGATGAGGATGAGGTGGAAGAAGAAGGGCCCCCAGCAGATGAAGAAGACGCCCAGGAGGATGGTGAGTGTGACGGCGCCCTTCAGGCTGCCGCTGCGGTAGACGGTGGGCTGCTTCTGCTGGCTGGAGATGCTGCGGAGGTGGTGGCGGGCCAGGGCAAACATGTGGATGTAGAGCACCAGCATGAGGACCAGCACGAAGAGGAAGAAGCTGATGAGGCAGAGGAGGATGGCATTGTTGTGGTAGTAGGTGATGAAGATGGTGCTGGAGACGGTGCTGGCCAGCCAGACGCTGGCCATGGTCACCATGGCCCGTTGCAGCGTCATGATGCTGTGGTAGCGCAGGGCGTAGAAGATGGTGATGTAGCGGTCCACGGCGATGACCCCCAGGAAGGAGAGGGAGGAGAGGACGGAGCTGCAGATGAGCATGTCGATGATGGTGTCCATGTGGCGGACGACGCTGGCGCGGATCACCAGCACGCCGTGCTCCATCAGCAGCATGAAGAGCATCTCCACCAGGTTGCTGATGCTCACCAGCATGTCGGAGATGGCCAGGCAGCAGATGAAGTAGTACATGGGCGAGTGCAGGTTCCTGTTCTTCAGGATGGCGGCCACCACCAGCAGGTTCTCCACCAGGCTCACCAGCCCCAGCGTGAGGAAGAGCTCGTTGGGGATGTCAAGCCCCTGGCACCAGGCGTTGCCGGCCCCAGCCGTGGTGTTGCTCTGGTTGCCCTTGCTGGCATTCCAGGGTTCGCGCAGCAGGCGCAGGGGGGCCAGCATTGACATGGCCCCCGCCTCAGCCCCAGGGCCCCCCAGTTGGGGGGCCGAGCCCCCAGGGTCCCCCGCAGCAGCCCCCGGCCTGCCCCACCAGCTCAACGTTGAGGCTGAGGGAACGCAGAGGAATTGGGGATGGGGCGTCCCGCCGCCCCGGGGTTGTGCCGGGCACGTGCTGGGGATGCC